CAGAGGAGAGGCGACTTGGGGGTTCACATTATCTGATTCCATTTCATTCACTCATATTTCCCAGTCACTCTACCTTAGGTGGAGAGTTTCCTACAGTTTTTCCTCTTTCTCCTCTCTTAACCTCGGGTGTTTCTGCATCTTGGACCTGCAGGTTCCATCGTGTTGAATAGCCCTTCTGCAGATGCCAGGTCCCAGATGCACACGCGTGTGTCTGCCTCACAGCCCCCTCCTGCAGCACAGGCTCCAGGCTTCGTGGCTGTGACCTCTCTCTCTGGAAGCCCCGGCTGGGCCCGCAGCAGCTGGCACCCGTCTCGCTGCCCAGGGAGATCCCCCGTCCCAGGCTGTGTTCCCTGCACACCGCAGTGGCTTTGCTTCTTGTCTTCCTTGATGGCAAAACTTCTCCCAGGGGAACTGCAAATGCACCTATCCCCAAGGCAGGTCTGCCCAGAGTTCTTGAGTGGGTACCTGTTTAAACATTCTTGCTTTGAGGGAAATTCTGATTCCAGATAAATCCCAGTGGGGTTAGGGTGAGGGGGTTCTCAGAAAGTAAAGCCACACACACAGATATGGAGAGCTTGGGTCATCCTAAGACCCAGGGAGCCACTGACGAGCCCCATGTACTGGGAAGGCCAGGTAAGGCTTGGGTCGGGGCCCAGGTCTGTTTCTGAGGCACCGTCTGCCTCAGGGGCTCCCCAGAACTATGCCTTCCTCTGAGACCTCGCTCCCTCAGAGAGGGCACGCAAGTAGCATAGTCACAGAGTTTTCCCTGTCCCTGAGCTGCCGCCCTGGACCATGAACGGAAACTTCTCATCTCATCTGTCGGAGGTGGGCTCGTCAGAACCTTTCTCAACCTAAATTTGAAAACAAGGCAAATGCTTAAAATCCACTTTCCGGGGTGCGGTGGGGGTGATGGAGGGGTCGAACTTGGGCCACACACTGTCAATATCCGAAGATGGGTCATTTTTCCCCTTAATGATGATCCATGCGGTTTGTTTTAAATAGTGAAGTGGTTTGTACAAAGGGTAATTCCTGGTAAATGAAGCCATTGCTCACGCGGACATGTTCAGATCGAAAGCAATTGAACTGAAACCTGCAGATCACCCCTTCCTGTCTTTAATTAGAAACTGGCTCAGGGAGCCGCTTCCCGGAGAAGACAGACTCCCGCCTGGGGCCTCAGGAGGGGCACTGCCCGGCCCCGGCCGCCGCTCGCAACTCGCAGACGTCCGTTAGGCCGCGCCAGTGCCAGGGATGGCTGCGTGGAAAAGTTCAATTCTCATTCTGGTTACCTTGTGCTCTCAGCCCGATGATTTATAGGGGCCCAAATGGCATTTTATCACCTTCTTTCTTCTTGACTTAATCCCATGTTGATTTATTAGATGGTGCTGTGGATTGGGGGGAGTCGATAGTGCCAATAACGCAGAAAAGAATTAGGATAGATTATCTCCGGGTCTGATGGTTGTAGGGATGGAAGTGTCTGCTCTGAGCACTTGCCCAGACCTGGCGATCGTCCTCGGGGGTGCAGATTCCTCGTCTCTTTCCAGAGAGATCTGGGGTCCTAAATGGCTTCAGGAGTCCATCTTCCCTGATGTTTTCCGCATGGAAGGGAAGGATGCGTGGACTGTTGGGGGGCTCTGCTGCGCAGAGACCCAGGGTCAGGCGGGCTGGGGTTTGGCTTGAGCCTCTCTCGTGTCAGGAAACTTGGGGGGGTATTGATTTCAGGGTTCCTTGGGTAGCTTCTGCCTGCAGATTATTTAACGTGACATTCACAGGTGAGGATGGCGAGCATCTGGTAGTGGTAGATGCTCGCGGGAGCCTGGGAGCGCGCCTGCCATTCCAGGCCGGTGTCAGAACACACGGCGGCGGCCGCGCTGCCTGGGCCGATGGAGAGAACGTGCCATTGTGCTCACGCGCCATCTGCTTTCCTCACAGCTGGCCCTGGAGTAATTGTCCAGTAGCTGATGGGCTGGGGGCAGACCATCTTTTTTTTTAGGGTTTTCTGATTCATTTAACCAGCCTCTCGGGCCCCAAGAGGAAACATAATGCCTGTTTATTCATATTGGCCGGTTAAGAACAGTGTAGTTTGTCAGGCAAATAATAGTCTTCTGGAAGAGAAAGAAATTGCAGCATTGTAAACAAAATCAGGTTGGTGCACGCGCCGCGGGGGCCGTGGTGGAGGTGGCCTCCCGCGCCGTAGCAGTGCTGAGCGTGTGGGCGTAATGGCCCCATCTGCACAGACCTTTTTAATGGACCAGGAGAGGTGTCCCAGCGCGCTGTTTAATTCAATTAAGAAGAGCAGAGAAAGTTCCATTCATCAATAAAGTTTCCTATTTCCGGGAGCTGCCCCAGAGAACTCTGCAGGGCGGCGGGAGGCCTGTGACTGTCCTGCGCCACCGAGGGCTCCAGCAGCACACTCAGCAGCTGGGGCTCTGGCCTGACAGTGCGCAAGGCAGGGTGCAGGCACCCGGGAATGAATAGTGAGCCCCCAGGTCATCCCTGCAGGAGGAGGGTCTTCCCATCAGACCCCACAATCAATTCCATTCAATTCCCAAAGCATCAGAGACCTCCCGGGGCTGGGACCTAGGGGCTCCGGAAAGTGTAGGGGAGAAGGAATCGGACGCTGTCTCCAACTCCGAGCTCTCCTGATTCACTAGTCCTGGCTGCAAAGGAGCAGGAGATGACCACTTTGATGCCTGCGATTCCTCTTCTGATCCCCGCGATTCCTCTTCTGATCCCCCTCTGTTCATTCGCTTTCCTTATCGCTGTTCAGTGCCAGTGTGTTTAGATCTCTGTTCGACTGGCAGCAGCAGGCTGGCAGGACCTGTCCACTCTGTGGGTTACTCTACCCACAATGCCTAGAAAAAAAGCTAATATGTAGTAGTTGTTCAATTAAAAAAAGAGCAATGAATGAATACATGGCCTTGCTGCAATTTTTCCTGGCACTGGGGATATTGTGGCCGGTCAGTGAAGAGAGGACTCTGGTGCCCTGGGGCTGGCATTCCAGGAGAGAATAGAGGAGGCAAAGGACATGAGGATTTCAGGTTGTGGAGAATGCTCTGCAGGACCCAGCCAAGGTGGTGATGCAGCCTAAGTGGGCTGGCTGAGGGGCGTTCTCAGGTTTCATCTGATGGGTGGGTGGGGGGGCATCTCCCCAGGAGGTAATGACATCCTGACCTGCACACAAGGGAGCAGTAGGCACTGGAAGCAGTGAGAGAGGGTTCCAAAAGGGGGGAAGGGTTCACACCACCTCTGCATAAGATCCTGTCGCAGGCCTAGAGCCAGGGGGAGGTGGTCTGCGATGGGTGAAGCCAGTCTCCAAGGCCTGAACTCTGGGGCTGTGTTGAAATGAGGCAGGTGGGAAGGCAGAAGGCGGGAGCTAGATGCCCCTCAACAAGTGAGAGGAAACCACTACACCATGGGCCAAACCCCGGGACATTGCAAACAGGCTTCTCGGTGGAGGTGAGAGCATTTTGTTGGTCTCTTTTGTGGAAGCCTCCCCCAGGTGAATGCCTGGCAATAAGGAGTGTGGTCCAGGGCTTTCCAAACTTGGAGTGCTCTGGGCTTCCCTTTCTGATGTTCACCAACCCACCCACCATCCCAGTTGATAGCTACTAGATATTTTTAAAAATTAGCTCACATTTTCAACTTTAAAGTACTGAAAAATTCACCCACAACAAATATAAATACCTGCCCCGGAATCAGCTGTGAAGTTTTTCCAACATATATCAAAAGAAATATTTACCCACTCACGTGTTTACTCATCCCATGTTTGTTGAACTCCTGTCGGGTGCCAGCTGCCCTTCCGGACCATCTCTGGAAGCAGGCACAGGCCTCCCGGAGGACATCATGCCCATCACACTTATCCTAGTCCCACTCCTGAATCATCCAGGCAGATGTCGCTCTGGAGAATCTTGCTCAATCCACTGGGTTTCCTGGTTGTGCCCTGATCCCCCTCCCCTGACCTGCAAAGTGCAAGACACTGGTTACCTGCTTGCTTGGCCTCCCCCCTCGTCCCTGCTGCCAGGGCACAGTGAGAGGACACAGGTGTTTTGAGGCAGGGGCCTGGGACGGTGCTGCGATCTCCAGCTCCCCGCCAGGCTCTGGCCGAGGGGCAGATCTTACTCTTTTTGTTGTGTTTAAACACACACAGAATCAGAATTAGTGGGAGGCAGAGCAGGAAGCAGAGGTGAGTGCCCGCCCAGGAAAGGGATGTCTTGTCTTCTTCCTTTGCGGCCCTGGAACAAAGTAGAGGCCGCTGTAGGAATTAAGTGCCTCGGATTTCCCGGTGCTGATGTGAGTGAGGATGCGCTGAAGGTTTAGTCTTAATGAGCCTTTTCTTTTTAGGCGTTTGATGTTTGCCCGGCACTCACCTCTAGGACTGGATTCTTCTTATCCAAAACAGCAGCAAGAGCCTCTGCTCTTCCTATCTCTGCTTCCCGAGCTCTGCCTGGATCTAGGCATGGGGGAGCTCTGCTCTTAGGAAGGGTGAGGGCTGAGAACCCTCCTCCCAAGTCTTTTATTTACATTGAATACCCCAAAACAGAAGGAACGGTGAGGTCCACGTCCTGCAGTATTCTGGAGCATTCTGGAGCATCTTGCAACATGCAGATATGAAACTTAGCTCATTGGGAACCACTCAGCAGCCCCCAAAGCTCAGTGTATAAATAAGGGTGTGTCTAGAGATGTTTACAGGACAGAAATCGGGAGTTGAAGGCTGAACTCCGGTTCGGTTGTTCAGCCTGCTGATCCAGCTGGGTCCAGCAAGTCGTTTTACTGGATTTGGTGCTTTAATTACTTCTTGAGCAAAATAGGGGCAGGAATAATTGTGACGAGCAAGTCTGATGCAGATGAAAACACTTAGCACAGTGCCTGGGACAGAGTGAACCGCAAGTCATTCCTTCAGAGGATGAATGAATGAACGGATGGGGGAATGAGGGTGTTCAAGAAAAGTAGCATCTCTTTATTGGAACTGAGCGTATGTTTAATTCCCCATTTCTCCCCAGCTAATACGATCCATGCTTGTGGAGGACACAGACACAAAGAATCAGGGGTCTTGCTTTGCGGGGCCCTCCTGCTGGATCCCGGACCCCGCCCCACCCCCTCCTGTCAACTGTCAGTTCTGCTGGTGGTGTGGGATTGTAATGTGCCTGCACAGCTCAATTAATGCTCTGTGACAGGAGGAGGGAAAATAAAAATTGTCTTGCTCTTGTCAGTAGCAAAGTTATTTACTTTCAAAAGCTGACAGAATCACACTGCAGGGGCTTCATTTATTTCCATTCAGAATGTCATTATTCTGTGATGTAGGGACGTGGGCACACACGCTGAAGTTTATTCCCACCAGCTCAAAGGTGGCGGGTGCTTCTAAAGTGTGGATAGTCATGGGGGAATCTGGGGGAGTCCTTCTAGGGCTCAGGAGCCCCCAGCCTGGCAGCATGTGCACCCCGCGGGGGAGCCACTCCAGGGCCCGGTGAACTGTCTAGAGGACACGTGCAGTGTCAGCCCCGGGACCAGACCCAGGAGGGGCAGCCTGCATCCGCCGGCCCCTGATCGCCCGTCCTCTTGGTCCTCTTGATTCTGAAGCCTAAGAACCAAGTGTGGGGCTCTTAGCTCCACGTCACTCTTTATCTGAGCCTCTTCTGGAATTTCTGCAAACACAGAGCGCCCGCTGGAAATCACTTTGCTTTGGGTCGATCTGTTGTCACCACTTAAACTCCCTGACAGGTGCTCTCATCCAAATAATCAGGATAAAACTGTGCAATTTTTTCGGCGTCCTTTCTTTCTACTCCCCCCCACCCCCACGTGTTCCCAGGGAACACTTAGAATGGCACCCGTGGAGTGGAGAAATTCTTTCTTCGCGGTGCAATGGCAGAGGCTTCCACTGGGGGTCTCCTTGTCGAGCACGTTGCCGGGGCTGCTTGAGGACACTCCTTTCTTTTCCTTGCGCCTCCTTTGGTCTCATTCAAAAAGTGAGGTTCCCGAGGAAAGAGCAGGAGAGGCAGGCGGCTTCGAGGACCATTTAGGTGACCGGAGGATGCAGAGTCCTCTGCAATGATAATAATACTAAAATAATGCCAGTAATGAAAGAATCAATAACTTTTATGGAGTGCTCCGTGGCGGGCACACGACTAAGCACTTTTCCATGGATCACCTCATTTAATCCCCCGCAAAAGGCCTCCGGGGAGTGGATATTAATCGTTTCGAGCCTGAGATGCAGATGTGTGCATAGGTGGCAAGGTCTGTATCCGGGGCCGGCCTGTGTCCCTCCCGAGCTGGCACTGGGCAAGTCCTTCTGCACCGTGCCCCGGCCTGGCAGGTCGGGGCTGCAGGATCCCCAGCCTGAGCTGGCCGCTGGCTCGGGGAGACTCTCCCCTAAGCTGAGTCCGTGTCTAAAGGAGAACAGGCAAAACTTGTCCAAAGGGAAACATCGGGAGAGCTTTCCGCCCTGGACCTTGAGGTGATCTCCGGGGAGGGCGTTGTAATTACTGCTGAGCAGATTACAGGCCATGAGGCTGTCGGACTTGGGAGGATGAGGGCAAGGAGAGGGGCTGATGGGAAGCTGATGGGAAGCGTCGGTTCCCAGAATGATGGAGTGCATTTCTCTGCAGCCAATTCCAATCCCCAGGTCCCCGTTGTGCTGAGGAGGTCTCCTGCCACACAGGAAATGCAGTCACTGCCCAGCTCTGTGTTAATGATTTATACACCCGCACCTCTGCTTCCATTCACTGGCGGGGCCTGGGCGTGTTAATAAAGGAATTTCAGGGATGGGGTCCCAGCTTGCCGCGCTGTTCTGCTCGGTGCGGTGCAGACTGCTTCATAAATCAAAAGAATTTAGTGCTTTACAGCCTTCCTGAGCTCCTGAGATTGCACGTGCGTGTGCGCGTGTGCACACAACTGAGAGTGGGGAGGGTTGTGTGTTTAATGAGATTCACCTAGGGAATAGTCATCGCCTTCCTGTAAAGAGGGAGTGATGGGGGTGCCTCTGGCTTAGGTGTTTCAGGGGTGATGGGTGTGTTTTTAGAGGCATCCTGGCCCTGTTTGTTTCCCTTTTGGAGTCCTGCGTTACCCGTGTCGTCTGGGAAAATGGGCTGGCACCATTTTATTAGCATAAAGACACGGCGGCCACGCAGCGGCCCCTTCCTTCTGCATGATCACAAGCCGCAGGCGGGGAGCAGGCGGGCCGGCGGGGCAGGAGCCCACGCACAAGGCAACACGCATACTGCAAAGGCCCCCTTCAACCACGGGGCTTCGGAGGCTTTGGAGAAATTCAAGGGTTCAAGGCGGAAGAACACTGCTTTGTTTTAAAAATGAGTGAGGGCGTTTCACTGCTGAGTTGAGAATTCTGGATCTAGGAAACTTGTTTCTGTCTAGGAAGCCAGAGAAAGCTGATTCTAACCTCAGCTTTTGTTTGCAAATTGGAAGGAAAAGCCTAGGATGATGAAGTAGTGTGTTTAGAGCCCTCAGTTCCTCTGTCCAGATATCTGCAGGAAAGCCCTGGGTTGGGGCTGTTGCTGTCTTGGGTTATGCGTGTGGTCTCTTAATTATGTCACGTGACGCTTGCTGTGTGGCTATATGTCTTCCTCTATAGATCTGAGAACTGAAAAGTAAAAGAAATCTGGGTGGGATAACAGAGGGATAACAGAATATTTAGAAAGCAAGGGACTCTTTACATATTCTATCCAACAGCATTATTTTTGTATTAGGGGGAGTCTTGATTTTAGGGAATGTGCCTGAGTGAAATAAAATAAGGCAGACCTTAAGGAAATGACCATGTTATTTTAGCAGAATTGCCAAGTAACGCAGGCATGAATGAATGATTGGATGGATGGATGGATGGATGGATGGATGGATGGATGGACGGACGGATGGATGCAGAGACAAATAAATAAGGCCTCAGGCAGCCCCCACCTTAGCAGGGACTTGCATTCCTTTTGCAAATGTGAAGTTTTTGGTGACTGGTTCTTATCAACATTTATTCTGATGAGAAAAAATGAAAAGTATTTTCTGAAACTGACAATTTCCACAAATAGTCACTTGCAAAGACTATCTTTTCCCGTTTTTCTCTTCCTGAAAAGTGGGGACTGAACTTGCATATTTACATAAGTAAATAAAGGAGGGGATACGCGTTTTTCATCTCAGGAAATACGACACAGCATCTTGGGCTGGGGAGGCAGGTGTCCACCAGCGCCGTTTACATTTATATTGTACTGATTCTGTGTTTGCATTTGTCCCCCTATTATATGAAGCCATGAGTGTCTCATTGTCTTTAATTGTGTCTACGAGGCACAAGACAGCAGTCAACATCTGCTGCATTGTTTACTTGGTTTACACATAGCTTTGATGGGTTATTAAACAATCTATTTTTCAAACCGAAAACAGAGAAACCAGCCGAACCCATATTACGGCATTTTGTAAAGACCCATTATGCAATTAGCACTTGGGATTTGTGCAAAGCTGGTGATTCACCCAAATAAACATCCCTTTATTCTGATAGCTCTTAGCTTTGTGGGAAAATATCAATTTCCCAAAAAAATAAAATTGCATTTCCTCCTGAGTCACGTGGCCTGCCATGAAGATGATGGGATGATGATGTGTTAATGTGAGGGATGGATGCTTCACTTTTTTAGATCAGAAAAAGAGCAATTTTCCAAAATAATGGTGTCTTTAATTCAAGCCAGCAATTATTCTATTACATAAGAAACTCTTGGCTTACATATCAGACAGACTTTTAAGAGTTGATCTCGTACTATGGGAAAAGAGACATGAAATGTTTTTAACCATTTGTTGGCTGTGCGGAGTCGCCCTGATCTATCGATGAAAGACGCTGAATGGTCTAGGGGGACGCCTGTAACATCCGCAATGATTACCTCAGACCCCCGCCTTTGGCTGAAGTAATTGGTTAATAATTAATTCACTTGCTCATTCCTTCAACAAATATTTCTTTAGCCTCTGCTATGCCTCAGAAGTCGGGGTAGTCACTGAGGATCCAGAGCTGAGAAAAAGCTCTTTATTTTCCCTCATGGAGGCTTCACCCTTGTGGGGACACGGTGCTAGACAAGTCATCACCATGGAAATGGGAGCCACGGTGGTGACCCAGGCTCTGAGGGAGAAGGGTTGGGCTCGGGATGAGGCCCCTTCTCCGAGGTGGTGGTCCTGATGCTGACATGGATCGGGGAGGAATCAGAGGGGGTGGACATGGGGAGGTGACCGGAGCCGCTGAGGAGGGTGGGCCCTGCCTGGTGTTCCTCAGGGGGTGAGAGAAGGGGAGAGGGGCAGAGAGGGTGCAAGACCCTCGGGACGGTGGGGGCAGTGATATGGGGGAAGATGCTCTCCCCAGGGGAATAAGATAGCAGAATGAAAACAAAGCACAGGGTTTTCAGTAGAGGGCGGTTGTGCTTGAATTTAGCCTTTAAAGAGACCCGGTGGTCCAGACTGGAGGCTGGACCAGGTTGGGGGCTGTGCAAAGTGCAGGTGGAGCCGACGGTCACCTGGAGCGGCAGTGACAGGAGACACAGGCAGGTGTGCAGTTTGAAAACAAGCCTCATGTTCCTTGTGACCCCACAGCCCCCAGCTAAGAAAGCAGCAGCTGTGATCTAGAAGGGGTGGCCTGGGCTGGCGAGGATGGTGGGTCCCGGATGAACTGATGGGGGGGGTGGGGCTGGAGCTTTAAAAGGCACAACGTCCGGCCGGCCAGTTTCAAAGTGTCTCAGGCCCAGGCTCTCTGGACAGTCCCTGGCTGGGATCAGGCTCTCGATGACTGGTCTTGCACGCTGTTCAGAAGTACGGCTTCCCAAGCAGAGCTACCCCCCCCCCAGCACAAGGGTGACCCTCACAGTCTATGCTTGACTGGATGGCCACTCCCATCTTGTCAGCAGATACCCAACATGGCGGTGAGGAGTATGGGGGGCACAGCTGCCACCCCACCTCTGATCAGGGGATTATAGGAGTTCAGTGCACCCCTTGTCAGGCAAAACTGGCTTTGACTCTTGAAAACATTACAAATCCTATGGACCTATACCAGCTCCAGAGACATGAGTCTTACCTCTCTGATATAGGTGTGGAGAGGATACAGGTATAAAGCAATGGTCATAGAGGGTCAGTAACCTATGGTTGTTATGAGTATGGCTTGAGATAGAGTCCC